ACTCTAAAATCCTGGTTAGTGGAAAAGCAGTAAGTCTCATTGTCTTCTTTTTTATATAACTGGAAATTAATACATGTATGACAAAAGAAGCACAAAATGGCAGAAGGGGAAAAGGAGCCCCATGTTACAAGACGCTTGTTTATTAAAAAGTATTGTAATATCACCTCCAGATCTCTTAGGTTCCTTGTATCGGTTTGATAGGGACTATCTGTCCCTGATTCCATGATTAATTCTGGCTAATTCCATAATCAGCTATTCTGGCTGCTTTATTCAGAGCCAGAAGTGACGTAACAAAGTTCTATCTATCAGCTCAACTGGGACTCCTTGTCATTGGGTCCTTTCCCTTCTAGAGTTTTTCTCATCTTTTAAAAACTGGAATGATATGTACTGAAGTTGCAAAACAGTTAAGATGAGCCTTAGTAGTTAACGTCGATCCAAAACTTGTTCAATGAATTAACAAAAAGATTATGATATTTTAACTGTGGGGGAGGGAGGGTTACAGAGTTGACATGTACAAGAATTTGCTATAGTTGTGAGCTTAACCAAAAAAAAAAAAAACAAAACAAATTTATCAGGCGCAGCAAAGTTGCTCACATCCTTCTTGTGTAGCATGTGATACTTTCCCAAATAGCTTTTGATTTGTTCTCTACTAATTAGACATACATATAGTCTTGTGCCCTCTCTGGATGAAGTAGCATTTTTAGTTGGCCTATGCATTGCAGTGGACATTTTAGATATAACGCGTAACCCCTCAAATGGAAAATATCTCATTAAGCCTTGTTACATGGTCACCATTTGTGAATGACTGAGACTAGGGACTGTTTGTGCACTGGGAGAGGCATCTAGCGGTAATCATTTGAAGCTCTGTGCCCCACTCTTTTAATTGAGTTTCATTTATGGGTGATTTGTGGTTGCAAAGGTAGGGCAATTTCCAATCAGGTCCATTTTTTTAAACACCCTGTTATTACAATTGGCTTGGAGTTGAATCAACAGTGCTGTTGTCTAGAATTTCTAATCATGTTGTGCAGTTAAGGTGCTTAATTAGGCCTATAAAAGGAACATAAATATTGTCAAGTATCTTGGAACATATTGAGATACTTGTCTTTTTCTACCAGGTTTACATTTGGCAATTATTCAAAGCACTTCTCAGCAAAGTATCCTGAGAGATGTAAGAAATTGCTGACTCTGCAGCCACTATCTTGTGCAAAAGCTGAGTTCTACTAGTCCTACAAACATTGTTATTTGTGAAGGCCATGATATATTGAACTATTATGTGTCTCTCTGTGTCCCATAGGCATTATGTGAGGATTTCACTATTTTTAACTGTTCACTATTTTCTGTTCTATTTTGCTCACACTTCTATTTTGGAAATGGATCGAGTTAGCACTATGTCACTGTAGAATAAAATAACTTTTTTTTGTTATTGTACATGGTATAATGAAAATAAATTACATTATATATGTACAACTTACAAAACAAAGTACCCGTCCTTCCACATGCTAATCACTATTGCACAACCCCTAATGCCATATTAGTGTGGTTTCACACATTAGTGTTCAATAGAGTTCAATATAGTCACAGCTCTAGGATAAAAGCTATCTCTCAGCCTATTTGTCCTTGTTTTTATCATCCTATACTGTCTGCCAGGTGGTAACAATTCAAAAAAAGGAATATCCAGGGTGATATGGATCCTTAAGAACAGAATTCTTAATTTATTGTCCTCTGCAAATTTGATAAGCATGTCCTCTATCCCATTATCCAAGTCCTTGGTAAAAATGTTGAATAGCACTGATCCCAAGACAGAATCCTGTGGCATCTCTAGGAGGAAGAGGAGCCATTGGTGATTATGTAGAGGCCAAAACAGCACCAACATATGACACAGGAAGGGCTCCAAAAATCTACTGAAACATAGGCAGAAATAATGCCAAAACTTCACCCCCAAGATTACACTAAAACCACAATAAAACCTATGATTATTGGTCTCCTCAACTCTTTTATCCCGTTTTTCAATTGTCGCACCATTTATTGTGATTTTTGAATATATAGATAGGCAGAGATAGACAAAGGGACTCTTTCCTTTTTTATGGCACGAGAACAGGAGTGATTTAGGTTAAGTGATACATCCTCTGCCTCACATATCTCTTCTCCTCTAGACCCATTTATTACTTGGCCCCAGCGGTCCCATTTCCTGCTGCTCCTTAGTTGGAGAGCCAGACAAAATGCCTGTCACAAACCCCAGCTAACTATGCAGTGGGGTTGGCTACGTGCCTCAAGGTCACCACTGACAGCTCTAAGCATCTGTGCAGCTCCCTTCCATGCTGCAGCGGTGCTTGGCTTTTGCTCAAAGAGTTATGTGCACGAAGGGGAGGTCTTGGCAGATGACCACATGCAGGCCATGTACCCAGCAAGCTGTTCTTCCGCTAGAAGGGGATGGAGATGTAAAAAATCAGTATGTGAAAGCTTTCCTGAGCTTTCATCTGACCCTGTAGACATTGTGCAGGACATTCGGAGAGCAAAAAGCAACAAAAATAGTAAAAAAAGTGCAGGTTTTATGTTTGCCCTTAAGATGGCAGTGGGGAGTTTTGATTCCTAAGCAAGAAGTTTAAAGATTCTGGCCAGCTCAGATTTGAAATTTTGTATCATCATCCCGTGTTCTTGTCCTCGGCACTGTGTTGCACCTGACCTAATAATGAAGATGTAGAAATGGGACAGAGTCTAGCTGGACTAATAAAATCTAGTACATATTTCTCATATATTTTGGTAAATGCATTGAAACAAGGTGTTTAGGGACTGTGTGCACTGTTTTCAAGATGGATTGTGCCCTAGGAATTAGTATCCTGCTTAAAAACAAGTTATCTCAACCCAGTGCGACATCTTTACATTATTAGAAAGGCATTTTTGCCATCATTAAATTTGATGGGTTGGGATGTGATGAACATTGGAGTCATTTCCAAGGTTGCAGAACTTGCTTGTTCCAAATCTAAAGATTTTTCTAATTATATCTGTACAATATGTACTATGACTGAGGAAGAGTGGCTTGCTTAAGAACATCTCACATTCATGGCTGATGGGTTTCCATAGCTAGTGCTCCATTTAGTGGATATCAATGGCTATAGGAAGCATTTAGTATGGATTTCCATAACTAGTATTTCATCTCTGGCCACACAATCAACTTTGTGAACCTTACTTGACCCCTGTAAAATAATTGTAAATGTTTTATGTTCAGATCTTATTTCATTATATATTTTTGTTTGATTATGTTTTACTTGTTTTATTGATGTTAGGTTCTAATGTTGTACTTACATGTGGGTTTATGCGGGATAATTATGTTGGTATTTGTTTGTTTTACAGATTCATTAATGTTTGCCCTTTTTAATGTTTGAATCCACCCTGAGTCTCCCCCCTCCCCCCAGGAGATAGAGCAGAATATAAATAAATAAAGATAATGATGATGATGATGATTATTATTATTATTTGAAACACAACAAGATGAGTGCACAGCAGACACTCTGCTGGCTGTTGAATTGGATCACACGTCGGACACTTCCCAAGTGTCTAAGACTTTGTGATGTATCGGCGAATAGTGCATGCAGATCCCAGTAAGGTGGCCTTCTGCAACTGGCAGATGGTAATTTTGTCAGCACCGATTGTGCTTAAGTGCAAGCCAAGGTCTTTAGGCACTGTACCCAGTGTGCCGATCACCATTGGGACCACCTTGACTGGTTTGTGCCAGAGTCTTTGCAGTTCGATCTTTAAATCCTCATATCGTGTCAGCTTTTCCAGTTGTTTCTCTTCAATCCTGCTGTCACCTGGGATTGCGACATTGTTGATCCATACTTTGTTTTTTAACAGCATCGTGAAGTCAGGAGTGTTGTGCTCCAGAACTCTGTCTGAATTCAGAAGTCCCAGAGGAGTTTGGCATGTTCATTCTCTGTAACGTTTTCCGGCTTGTGATTCCACCAGTTCATTGTTGCAGGCAGATGGTATTTGTGGCACAAGTTCCAATGAATCATCTGAGCAAGAGTGTTATGCCTCTGCTTGTAGTCTGCGTGATCTTGCAGCAGCTGAGGATGTGATCTATTGTTTCATCTGCTTCCTTGCAGAGTCTACATTTGGGATTTGTTGTTGACTTTTCAATTCTGGCTTTGATAGCATTGGTTTGAATGGCTTGTTCTTGGGCTGCCAGAATCAGGCCCTCAGTCTCCTTTTTCAGAGTTCCATTTGTGAACCACAGCCATGTTTTTTCTTTGTCAATTTGGCTCTCAATTTTTGCCAGAAACTGTCCATGGAGAGCCTTCTTTTGCCAGTTTTCTCTTATTATTTCTTTATTATTATTATTATTATTATTATTATTATTATTATTATTATTATTATTATTATTTAGAGATCAGTGGCTATAGGAAATGCCCACTAGGCAAGACAGTTACAGGCACTTAGCATCATGTTTCTACAGTATTTAGAGTTTATAAACTTTACTCCTCCTGAAATGTGTTGCCTATTTTTAAAGTTGTGCGGATCTTGCAGGTCTGGAAATGAATAGAAAATAATGTTGTGAACATATGTTCACTGAGACTGAAACTTTAAATTCATACAAGAATACATTCTGTTGTTATTCATGGAACTTTTCCCCTGAGACGCAAGCAACCTATTCTCACAACTCGGCAATGGTGTTTTTGTAATGTAGAAAAGGACAACTGTAAATATACAGTACATTGCATTATATCCAGAGATGCTCTTTAAGTGCCAGCCCTGCTAATATAAAATAATAAGTAGCATCATACACCTGTATTATTTTAATGTCTTCTAGGCTTTTAAAATAGGTGGCACATAAGAGTTTGACTAATATACCTTCTGTAAAATATTAAATATATTCTAGCCTTGTTTATTGCTAGTTGCAGGTGACTACATCCATGAGACCTAATAGCCGGGTTGACTGTTGCATGAACTCTTCATAATGAATATGATGATTTCCCGCCTCTTCTCTCTTTTTATTTCTGTAGGCTGTTCAGCTATCCCCCAGACGATGGTTAAACCTGCAGGAATATCAGAGCAAGAAACTGATGGCTGATCATGGGGTCACCGTTCAGAGATTCTTCGTGGCTGACACTGCAAATGATGCTCTTGAGGCAGCTAAGAGACTTAGTAAGTTGGCTATTAATGAAGTGATATCTGCAAGATGCTAAACAAGCTTGGAAAATTAAACAGGGCTGTTGTGGGTAAATATATAGATGGTTGCACGTGGACTTTAAATCTGAGACACATTATAGTGTAACGATCAGAAGAATATAATTAGGATGAGCACAATTTCATATGCAATTTGGATTTTATTTTTATCCCACTCAACCCCGGAGGCTGAGAATGAGGTACAATAAATGGAAATATGTATAACTAATCTGAGAGTATAGCAGATATTGTTATTCAAAATAACTTGTAATGCAGAACATGGGTGAGTAAGTGCTGAGAGTATGGAAAGCAAAATGAGGAGGAACAATATTTTTGGAGACGATAAACTTTGCAGAGGTACATTTTGAAGAAAGTAATCCCAAACACATCAAAAGAAAAATTGAACAGGGGAAGAAGAAAGGGGAATAAAATGACGTAAGGGCGTGGGTTGTTGGTTTAAACATTTTGCTGGAGCAACTTTCTAGAATTTGTCACACTGCAACATTTTGCTACCAATTCCACAACAATAAAAATGAGTGAGTTTCTGTGAGTTTTCCGGGCTGTATGGCCATATTCTAGAAGCATTCTCTCCTGATGTTCTGCCCATATATATGGCAGGCATCCTCAGAGGATGAGGGGTCTGTTGGAAACTAGGCAAGTGGGGTTTATATATCTGTGGAATGTCCAGGGTGGGAGAAAGAACTCTTGTCTTGAAAATGAACAAAATCTAACTACCAGTATTAAAAAAAACTCTAAAATCATAACAGTTAATAAAGAACAGCACTCAAAAACAGGGGAATTCCAGAAAAGAAACAATCAGTGCCAGCTAATCACCTCCCAACAAAGGATTCCCCCAGGCAGTAAGAAGCGAGACCTTGAAAACTGCTAGGCCATTAAATGCTAATCAGGGTGGCCATTTGCTACATTCACACCTACCTCAAACAGTCAAGAGTTCTTTTTCCGGCCCTGGACTTTCAAGAGAGATATAAATGCAATTTTCCTAGTTTCCAACAGACCTCACAACCTATGAGGATGTGAGGAAATGCCAGGAGAGAATGTTTCTGGAACATGGAACATGGCAGCCCAGAAAACTCACAATAACCCAACTCTTGTCTGTTTCAGGCAAGCGTGGATGTTGCAGTTGGCCACCTTGATTAACATTTAATGGCCTTTTAGCTTCAAAGCCTGGCTGATTGCTGCCTGAAGGGAATCCTTTGTTTGGAGGTGTTAGCTGGATTCCCCCAAACATCAAACAGCCAGGCTTTGAAGCTGCAAGGCCATTAAATGCTAATCAAGGTGGCCAATTTCAACATTCATACTTGCCTCAAGCAGACAAGAGTTATTTTTCCCATCCTGGACATTCCACAGGTATATTATCCTCACTTGCCTAGTTTAGAACAGAGCCCTCAACTCTGAGGATGCCTGCCATAGATGTGGGTGAAACGTCAGGAGAGAATGCTTCTGGAAACTCTTCCCTACAACCTGGAAAACACACAGCAACCCAGTGATTCTGGCCATGAAAGCTTTCGACAACACAATAAAAACGTTCATGAGTATTTTTATGCGCTTGCAAAATTCTCATTGGAAACGTGCTGTAATTTATCTGTACAAAAACAAGAATAAAACCTTGTTCAACTGCCAGCCATCTTTTCCTTGGTGTCTTTGAGGAGGTGAGGGAGTACAAGCAGTGTGATTGCCATGTTTCTTATGCAGAAGGAGCAGTTACTTAGTCTGGGTAGTGGTAAAACTTCCAGATGCTGTTAATTGGCTGCCAGCTATGTATGTTCAGAATCCTTTGGGTACTTAAATTTCATTGGGCTCAGTAGGATTTATTTCTGAGTATGCCAGCATCCCTTTACATGTACATTTCCATACATAATTCTATAGCTGCATCAGTGTCACATAAATCAACGTATGATACAATAGCAATAAATGTGGCAAAATTGAAACAGCAATTTTGAGTCATGGTAAAATTGCAAGAAGCCATTAAAAGTTTTGGTAGGGGAAGAGAGAGAATTGCGATTGCCTGGCACCAGAGCTGGTGTTGGAAAAAAACAGGTATAACAAAGGATTTCTGCAGGTGAGGCTCCACTTGAAAAATGAAAGTGGTATTCCATATTCTGGGGATGACTTTCATATAAGGCAGGTCAGGTGGAAAATAACAGTTCTTTAGATAATAGGGTCCTGGGTTTGACTTCAAAACAGTTTCACTGTGAGAATTTTTAGGAAGTTCACTCCCAGCTTTTCGTATGAGGCAGTGGGACCTAGCTATCTGCTGGAGTTTGGTTTCAGGATACCAAAATGTGTTGATGCTCAGGTCCCTGTATATACAGTGGTGTGGTAAAATGGTGCCCCTCATATAAAATGGCAAAATCAGCATTTGCTTTTTGGAATTTTTGGTTTTGATATTTTTAAGCCGTGGAAGACTACATTTGTAGATGCAGAATCCATGGATATGGAGGGCCTGCTATACTCAGAAAACATTTGGGGGGGGGGGGGCTTGTCTTGTTAAAAAAAAGAGTAAAGTTTCTCTTGACATTAAGTCTAGTCTTGTCCAACTCTGGGGCTTGGTGCGCATCTCCATTTCTAAGTCGAAGAGTTGGCATTGTCCGTAGACGTCCCCTAGGTCATGTGGTTGGCATGACACATAGAGTGCCGTTACCTTCCCACCAAGGCTACACCTATTGATCTACTCACATTTGCATGTTTTCAAATTGCTAGGTTGGCAGAAGCTGGGGCTAACAGCAGGAGCTCATCCCACTCCCTGGATTCGAACCACCGACCTTTCAGTCAGCAAGTTCAACAGCTCAGCGGTTTAACCTGCTGCACCACTGGGGGCTCCTCTTTTTTTGTTACCCTTTGACAATTACATTAAAGGCACATGCATAAACAATGGGATTTCTAAGATGACATTAGTACGGCTGAGTAGCTGGAATGAGTTCAGTGTGTGTGACTAGTTTTTCCATAAAGGAAAAGCCTTCTTATTATTTTCTGGATTGAATATGCAGATAGGGCTAGAGTATAATGGTGGAGATACTTGGGGATGGGTTTGGTTTTCTTGGTCTTTTGAGATTTTGCTTCATTTGAAAACAGATTTATTGTAATGGGACTTCAAAGCCACTTCTAAATGTGTGCTCAGTCCTGAGAAGTGTGCCTTCCAAATTAGTGATCTTAGTCCCATTTATACAAGTCCCATTTGTTCTACCATAGAGGAGAGTTGTTTCAACTCTTCAAACTGCAGTGACGAAAAGGCAGCAGAATAGAATATGTGCCATTTCAGCAGATTAAATGAAAATGCTCCTCTATGAGGTTCTGAACACATCATTTTTAATCTTTTGCTTTTCTTCTCTCATCAGTTCACTTTAAGGAATGCTGAGCCCAGAAAAGATCTTGTAGCTTACCTACTGGCTGCTTTTAACTTGAGACTCGATGCTACTTAGTAAGAGAAAGGCTTCTAAATAGGACAGATAAGAGAAGTACTCATGTGCCCAGTATAATGAACAGAGATGGCTTTCTAGATTGAGTCATATTCTCACAGTTTGGCATTTCCATGATTTATTAATGATATTGTCATTGATTATGGTATGTAATTACAAATATAGGTTTGAAAAATACAGGTTTGAAAAATATATTTATTGTGTTTTAAAACATAGAGGGAAAACTAAAAGCAATATTTGCTATGTCTTGAAAGTACCCAGAATCAAATATACCTTTTCTCATGCCTTGAGGGCAGGAGAGAAGGGCATTCACGTTTCTCTCAATTCTCCCTCTCTCTTCTGACCTCCATTCCATGTCCCATGTTATTCCTGAGGTTTTCCTAACCCAAATGGTCACATTTTCAGGAAATGACTGGCCCAAGATGTGGTAGAGTTAGATGGGAAGAGTGGCAACAGAGGGAGCATGTGAAAGTCCAGCCCAAGAAACAACATCCAATCATGTTTATCCTGCAGTGTGTTTCAAAAAGATGGGCCAGATTTGAAATTGCTATATCTTTTGCAACCGTGAATTCCTCATGAATGAAATCCTTACCACTCTCCCAGCACACAAATATCCCCTGGCATAAATCATTTGTAACATCGTGATCCCAAATATACAGCTTAATGAATTAATCACCAATTGTAGAGGTTTTTTTTTTAAAAAAGATTTGTTTTAGGTTCAAAATGATGAGTAAAACTTGATCACTCATTAAACCATTTCTAGCTTTTTGTGTAATTATAACACATTGCCATCATGAAATACATTGCTTTGAAATTGGGTCCATCATTTTGAAGCACCCTGAACTCCCAACACAATGTGATAAAATCACAGGACAGAAAAAGAAATGTGGGCAATATATGTATTTTGCTGCCCCACATCTCTCATCTTTGAAAACACAATTTTCATATCTTGTAACAATAATTTTCATTTACACAAGTACATCAAAAGCACAAAGAATTTACTGAATTATTTAAAACACTGCTTTTTGATGTAAAGAGATTTTAGAGGGCATGAAATCACTTCCATACTCCATTAAACCTTTAATGAACATAGTCCTCATAGTTAACACACATTGGATCAAAAATGCATCATGAAATTGATACATTGTTACACATCTCTAGAGATCAACTGATGTTTTATTGTTGCATATATTCTTGCATCACCATTCTTTTAAACTATTCACTTTTATATTGTGCCTTTCTCTGTACACAACTTAAAGCAGATTGTAGCAAATTAAAAGTATAACTAAAAACTGTTAGTGCAAAAGTTAAGAAAACAATAAACATTAAACAGACCTTTCTATTAAACCACAATGTTAAAATGGCTTAAAACAAAATTGAAAACGTGTTGTCGGAGGCTTTTATGGCTGTGTGCCGGAAGGACTGAAGACCAACAGGTTGCAGGTTCGAATTCGGGGAGAGGCGGATGAGCCAGTTCTATCAGCTCCAGCTCCTCATATGGGGACATGAGAGAAGCCTCCCACAAGGATGATAAAAACATCA